ATAGCTGACGAAAGTACGATCATTTATGCAAAATAAGACAAACAATAAGCGTTGAACAAAAGAAAGCGTTTAGAAAATAGCTGACAGATGTAATTCGTACGTAATGCTTAGCTGATGATGAGCAAAATATGAAACGCTAAAATGATATAATAGATTAATTATACATTCATGTACAATATTCGTTATCTGTTGTAATGGATATATAAGTATGTGAATGTCTAAGGACGAATTTATGGAATCATTTGACGATAAAACATGAAAAATCCAAAAAAATTACAATAACCAACGCAAAAATATAGCAAATAAAGCGAGTGCGAAACTTTCGTTTCTCTTATACTCTATCAGTTATCACGTGTATTGATCGTTATCACTTATCAGTGCTTGGCAGCAACAGCCATTTGTTCGGTGCGTTACGAGTAACTGATCATATCAAATAGTTTCGCAGTTCTTATCACTAAAAATAAAATGCTATGATAAACTTACTAACAATGATGAATTACTATAATATAACACTTTGCATGTTGAGTCTATGTTCGTTTGCTCATCAATCTGTTCAAGTCATTAACTAGTTCATTCATTCCAATAATAATTCTCATTTGTTATTGTTATCATTTACTTATTTAATCAGCACTTATAATGACTCATTATCATACATAGTGGTTAGGTGACGATTAGCAAATTATGAAACGCTAAATTGATATAATATGCATTCATGTACAATATTTGTTATACATTATACTTTCCTTATGCAGTATATGCTTCTGTGTTATCACATTCTTGTTTCCTCGACATGCTTCTTTCCGTACCGCTAACGATATCCGCATAGCGAATGTGATCATCCGGCATCATCATATCCTAACTTCCCTTGTTGATTTGCCAAGTGTAGAGGCGTAGACGAGCACTGCTATTATTATCACTATTACTATTACTAATGAGCCACGCTCGGAGAATAGTGATAATTATTTTTTCTATTTGCAGCATAGAATTATTGTATGTATCAAAATATTTGCATTATTATTGTCATTATCATAAGTGTAATTGGCGATTGCCGATGTCAGTTAGTATAGTACTGGTCATGATTAGTGATATTATTCGGAGCATTTGATGTAATGCAGATATTTTTAATTGTTTTATTCATGAGCTATTGAATATTTGTTTTCTTGTATTGTATCGATGTTTTGTCAACTATTGGAGAGTCGATGGATATGAAAATCTCAAACGAATGCGGCTGTGCACACATTAGTGGGTGTATCTTGGCCAGCCGCAGGTTTGATCACAATATGAAGTATAAGTTTAGAAGAAGAGTAAGCGTGAGCCCGAACTCGAGCTAGGTCGAGTCGAAAATATATCGTCGTGCCGCACAGCTTTCGAGACTGCTTGCAAGCTGAATCTAGCTAAGCAATACCAAATGTTAAATGGTAATGCCATTGTTGATGCCAGAGCACATCTATCGAATTCATTTTCAGCACAGTCCCAAAAGCAGCTGTCCCTGATTCGTGGAAGCTAGCAAACGACGAAGTCTATATTGATCCAAGGTAGTAGTTTGAAAATTTTTATGAAAGTTTGAGTTAATTAGTGAAAAGAAATCCAATTGTAAATATAACAAAGTGTTAGTCAAGAAATGTTGATAAAGGTGAATTATTCACATAATATAAATGAGGTGTGATATGTTGAAGAGTAACCTTCGTTTTTAAATGTGAAAAGAGGTAAAGTGCAGTATATAAGTTTAGTTAAGAAGTAAATTCAAAGTAATTGTGAGATAAAGAATCGAATTTTAGTATGTCCTCAACAACGTATGTAACCGAAGCACTGGCTGGACCAACCAGTGCACGTGGTTCCACATATTCATATACGTATGAATCACATTATGATGAACCATCAACGTTACAAGAGGAAGAGCGAGGAGGTCGAGGGAACGAGATCAATATAGAAGAAGCAGATGAGAATGATAAGATGATGCTTTTGTTGAGGAGGAATGCGGGTAGTCAAAATGATTCAACGACGATATCGAACAATATGCAGAATGTGTTGAGCACTAATCAGAATGATAATGATAATATGAATGATCATGATAATGATTTAATAATCAAGAATACCACATATAAAATTGATAGTGGGGGCGAGTCCACTGATGGAGAGGTTGAAAGACTTTCAACGCAAACGCAAAAGGTAATGTGATTGTTGATATGCTAATGCAGATGTTGATAGTACTGCAAAATTGTCATTTCGATTGATTTTTGTAACTATTACAGAATGTGATTTTGTTTTTGATGGTTCTGTTTTGGTCATTTTTTATTTGATTGTTTTTTGTGAGAATTTTTGGTCGTGGTTTTCTATTTCTCAATCTTTAGTTAATTGAGGGATGAAGGGAGGCGTTTGGTGATGATGGTGGTTATGTTGAAAATGATGACCTCGTTCAAGCAGATAGTCCACTCCTGTTCCCTCCCTCCCCCCACTCCACTTCAGATAATGAAGACCATCTAGGACGGGATCCCTGTTCTCCTTTGTCATTCTATGATATCCTGGATGGAAATTTTTTCGCTCGTCGTTCCACGTACTCTCATGCGAATGGTGAATGCCTATGTTAGACGTCATTATAGACAAGGTATTGAACACACAAGAGTAGATTGTGGCTAAATGGAATCAATCACAATAAAAAGGGAAACTCATCATATATATTTTTTTCGGAAACTATGAAAATTCATATTGAAGATAACTCGTGTAACAAAAGTAACGACAACACGGTCGGTACGACAACTTCCAATAACGATTGGCTCAGAAACGAATTTCTATTTTGACGCTGATGGAAGTCCAATGCCTTTGGCTGATAGTGATGGTCGTAATGCTGCAACTACATCGTCAGCAGTGATTTATGAAAATGGTCATTTGAATTCAAAAGTCGAAATTTGTTTTGTTCATTTTCTTCTATTTTTACTGATATAGGTGTTGTATGCTTGACGTGCAATGAATGTTTTAGAAATATAGCCTAAAGATGTTATATGAATTTGTTTAGTTATTCTTGTTGTGAGTACATCTTGCAGTCATGATACCAAAAAAGCGTCGTTGTTCGATGCTAATTCAGCAGAAAAAATTTTTGGTGAATTTTTTAAAACAATTTCACAGAAAAACGAAACAAAACAAATAAATAATCAGCAAAAAATTGCAGTTCCGTATTCGGATGCTGAACTAATGGCATTAGGTATTGATTTATCAAGCAAACGAGGAGCTGATAGGCGATCGGCCAATCTTGATGATAGTGATAATGCAAGAACAACAAGACATGCCGCCGCCACCACCACAACAGCAACGTCCACCAGCGCGTATTCTTCCAGTGCTGCTTTTAATACCCCGTCGCCAGCCCCGGCCGCAGCGACGTACACTAGTGAAGTTTTTATGTTTGGAGTACACGGCAAAAGTGCAATTGGACCATCATATAACGAAGAAGAGTTGACTAGAACCATATCATCATCAGTTCATTATGGTTTGTAGTGAATTACACTGTTTTTTTTTCTTTGGTTTCATTTGTTTCTTCACTATTTTATGCGTTTCACTGTCTGTTTGTTCAGCCACGATGTGTTGTTACTGCATCGGATTCGGATCGAAGCATTTATCGTTAATGATATAAACCGGGCGAGGCAATAATATCATCATGACTAAGTGAAGCACTGATAACATGAAAACTTTTATGATTTTATAGTGAGATGATGACAAGCGATTGAAAACAGCATGATGTATATTAGTAGAAAATACCTTAAGATTTCATTCCGTATAAGCCAAGTTGCTCTACTGTTTGTTATGAACGTATAGATTCTGTAGAAAGGATTGCTTGTGACACGCACAGTTTTGGTACTGTTCTAATTGGATGATGGAGTAAACTTGTTTTTGATTTAATCAGACATAAACTATTCTTTTTCAACGAACCCCTAAGTCTAAGAACAATGTGACGGCTCTTAATGATTATCATCTTATGGACAAACACTGTTCGAAGTCGGTCAAAAATTGCTCACAGAATTTGTGTCACAAACTATACAATAAACTTAATGAGAGCGCATTTCCTTACGATTGTTAAAAAGAATCACGACAACACTTATAGATTTGCCTGCTCGTGCGGGCACACCACAAATCACGAATGTTGGTGCAAATGAGATAGATTTAAGCTGGCTTGAACCTGAACCCACTGGCCCTAGCTCGGAACCTGTTTTAGGCTATCAGGTCAGCAGTTTCATTATTATTTTCACTGTTATTTATTATTGTTGTCATTGCTGTCTTTAATTTATTACTGTTACCGTTGTAGTTATTATCATTGTTGTTAAAAACAACAATAATATTATTATTATCACTGTTGTTAAGAATAATAATATTATTATTATCACTGTTGCCCTGTAAATAATTTTTTGTTGAAAATTTTTGTCAAAGAAACAAACTTTTCAGGTGGAATTGCGACGAATTGGATCAAATGAATGGATTAGAGTGTTTGATTTCTTAATAAAAGATACTCATTGCACAAGTGAGTTTATTTTGTTACTATTATTATTGATTTGGTCATTGATGTAATAATAATTAGTATTGTTATTATTATTGTTGTTGTTATTGCTCCTGAAAATTGGACACATCATTAGAATATTCACAATTCATTACAAATCGTCTATAAAATATTATACGACATAATTATTAGAATATGCGAGAAGGTATTGTGCATTCTTTTTGTTAGATGAACATCTCATTTGAAATCCAAGGTTAATTATTATCGGTATTATTATTGTTGTTATTACTAGTATTGTCATTGTTATTAGGAGAATTATTATTGGTATTATTAATATTATTATTAATGTTATTATTATTATTATTATTATTATTATTATTGCTATCAGTATTTTGAATCTGAATTTTTTGACATACCCAGAGGATGCTCGAACGTTGATTTTTTCGTTATATATTATTCAAGCTCAGGGTTAGACTGTATGTCATGATTATATATA